ACTGCATTCGGCTCTTTCTCTATTTCATAGTATCTCTATTTCCGATAGTTTCCAAAATACCCAGTAACATTCGGAAAATCTGGCCTTGTATCGTACGTACTATTTGAGAGGTCATTTAAATACAACATTGCTGTGACGTACAAATGCTTTACCGTCGCATCTTAAGAATTTGCCATCTCGTCACAATTGCAAGAGCAGCGTTTGCTGAATCTATGCCATGGGGTTCTATTTTATGGGAAATATGATTATTACTACATTATTTAAAAAATTGTTCAAAGTTCTAATTTTTTTCCACTTCTTCCTTCGCTCCGCCCATCGTTTCTCGGGGGTAGCATAAACGATTATAAAGGAAACACAAACCATTGCAATTGTTTTTGTAAAAATAGCAACAATGGGCGGTGCTGGAAAAATGGACTTCAAGTTACATTAGAAGAATACAGTACAACAGCACGAAAAGATGACAAGAAGCTTGTATCGTCCCAATTAAAGCGACGACCTTAAAATATGTAACTAGAGAAATCCGTTGTCTCATTAAGGGCCCATTTTTCTTGGCTCACTTAAACTTATATAACACGTAACGACAAGTTTTGTTTTGAAGTGTAGGAATTTTGGTCACGTATGATTTTTGCTCGTAGTATGAATTTTGGTTTGCTTTGTCTTCGTTAGCTTTCGGAATTTGCACGATTCGAGATCTCTCTGGTACAGACAAGATGGAGAAATGGTAATTTGCTTGTTACCTAAAGTTGTTGCGTAATGTGAAATTGGTCAACCTATGCCCGGTTTCATACACGGTGATGAAGGTTAATCACTGATTAAAAATATTAGCATGGGAATCTGAACGTATAATCAAAGGAGGCTAACATTCTAATATTTTTAATCATTGATTAACCTTAATCATCGTTTGTGAAACCGGACACAATTAACGTACCACTTTCGATAATTACCATCGAATCACCGGGTAATCAAATAATTGTTTGTTTTATTTAAGTAGTATTTTTTCGGGTGGGTTCCAGTGGATGCTGGCTACAAATTTTAATCAATATTTAATGAGTTTTGATAACATTTGTGTATGCTCAGTATTATTAGATAACATTTAACCAAGGGTTTAACTTTCCGTGATTTCGTGTCCGGGTGATTTTATTTTTATTTTATTTTATTTTCGGCGCAAAATTCTACTAAAAGAAAATGTTGAAAATATAGATGTTGACACCCCAGCGTGTGAAGTTGGAGTGTCATCAGAAAAAGTTGAATTACTCATAATTTTATTTTATTTATTTTACTTTATTTTATTTTGCCTTTATTTTTAAGTGGACAGAGTTTCATGCAAGGCTACTCTACCAACACAACCCCCTATACGTCTACAAATATCCACACCCGAACCCGGATTCGAACCAGGGACTCTTAGCGTCACAGTCGAGCTTCCAGATCACAAGTTGGTGTTGCAGATAATGGAAACAGTAGTATTCGCATAGGAGAATATCAGGAAAACACATGAAAAACTGTATCTAGGAGCATGAAAAATAATATTAAAAAGGATAATTAGCTTTAGTTTGTATAAAAACTGAGTAAACAAATTATACGCAAACCAGTGAAAATACACAACATAATATGATACATTTAAAGAGCAAAAAATAGATTGACTAATGATGAAATTTAATTTTGAATTTGAATACTTAATGTGGGTAGGTATTGTGTTGTTGTTGTAGGTCGAATATAATTTCTTATCCTTATTCCTTAGGTGTCTATGGGTCGGAAATCTTGAATATAAGTTGTCATTCATTATATTGAAGCAACTTGTATGTAATGTAATTACACAGTTTTTGAAAAGATAAACCGAATGTTTATCTCAACTCCATTTTGGCTTTATAGAGTTGTATTAACTCGATTTGCTCGAAATACTATCATAGCATACGCGAGTTCCTCAATAATGACCAACAGAATTTCAGTTACGTACCTATACATTAACGAGGTATATTACCAAAATAGATAGTTAAGCAGTGTCTGCACTTTAGTAAATAGGTATAGCAAAACCGAACTGCTAATCTCAATCACAACATTGCAATGTTTGTACAGTAAATTCGTTAATCTGTATACTTAATCTAGCCAAGCAGAATACAGTAAGAAGACCATGTCAACTGGTGAAATAATTGTTATGCAAATTTAATGCAGTTACCTTCATGGCTTAGCATTAATATTCAGATGTTGAACATGGATTAAATTGAAATAAAGACTAAGTATACCTTTTTTTATGAAAACATCGTCAATCCTCTATTTTCAATTTTTCCCAATGGAATATGTATTTATATTCAGTGTAAATAAAATGCGAGATAAATAATATTTTGCAATACTTTGGATATAGCGTCGAATGAAGGCACTCGTGAAAAGCCGTATGAAAAATGAAAGTTAAACTTTTAACCAAAAACTACTTTACCCCCTTTCACACTCTGTTCCCCAGGGCCATTCCCTTAAAAGTTTTAAATGACAAGTGGTATCGAGTAATAGTTTGGTTGAAAGGTCTTTCGAAGTCCTTTATTTTGACGTTTGATTTTTTAAAATCGGTCGATTCGTTTTCGAGAAAATTAGAATAATTTCCAATCTTTCGGCTAGTGTGTAAACCATTTTGGAAGTAAAATCTGAATCAGTAAATTAATTTTCACTTTCCCAAGATCACAAAGGTAACTGACAACAAATTAAAGTCTTTCTTTCCCATAGCAACAAATAAGTGATATTTTCGTTTGTTTTCGTTTTCATCCGAACAAATTAAGATAGGTCGATTAAATAAATTAAATAAAGATTTTTCTAATTTTCTCGAAAACGAATCGATCGATTTAAAAAAATAAAACTTCAAAATAAAGGAATTCGAGAGACCTTTCAAGTTTTCTAAGTTTTTTGCTATTTACTAGATATATTCCGCCATCAAATCCCCATCAGATGCAGTTTTTCTTCAAGACACGTTAAACAAGATGCCGTTGGTGCACAAATGTGTTCTATTATTTATAAACAATGTGAAGGATTTCCAGTTACTGATAATTAACTGTACATGAAATTAAGGCGACAGAAGGAAGTATTTAATTTTATGCTCAAAAAAGAAAATGAAAATTCGAAAAAATTAAATTGGCCTCTTGCTCGAGTGGTTGACTTGTATACTGACGAAGTTGGATAAGTACGCATTTAGAGCTGGATAGTTCTTATAGAATGGTTACCTGTGGGGTGTTCGAATGGCGCATTCATATTTAAAAAAATAAACTTAGTACTCTTGAGTTATTTTATACACATTTCATGCATTGCTTGTTATACCTAAATTTGGCCGTTTTTTGACACATTGAATTTTTGTTAAAAATGATAATCATAATTGCCAATTTGTTATATATGAGAGCTGTTATATTTAAATTTTAAAAATCCCGTTTTTAGGAATGCGTTGATAAATACATTATAATAAAATGCAGAGGTTTCAAAAAGTAAAGATTGAAAATGGAATTCAAAATTTTTAACTCTAAATTTGTTTTAATAGAAGCTTCCAATTTTTATAACTGTGTGTAAGCACAAAAAATAAGGGCAACCTTGTATAAAGCCCAAAGAGGCACTAACAAGTCAAAAGTGCTCTCTAGCACTGTGTTAATTTCTCGGACTTCGAAACTACATACATCCCCTCTAAATCTCACCTATAATCCGAAATTTAAACCACCCGCAAACGATTTGTTATCTATTATATATAGTTTACCTGAAAGTGAAAGCCCTGTCCTAAATTATAGTGCAGATTTGAAATCGCATGATCAAGGTGTCCTGTTATTTATATTTAAAAATATACAGAGCGATCAATATGAATGGGTTAAACTCGTTTTTGCCTGGTTCAAATTCAGGTTCCGAATGGATATTTATTTGCAAATGTACCATAACAGAAAGCTCACGACTGCGACCGATATAGCCAAAGACAAACGGCGTGCGCTATGCATTCAATTTAATACTAGCCTGAATAGTGAATATGCACCCTTCTATTAGAAATAAATTACTGTTATTAAATTCAAAAGTTATTCCGCGACGTAAACTTGCTTTATTGTCGATAAATAAGCCCACATGGATTTCTACACCTTCCCAAAAATGTAAGTCTCCCCATCAATTGCACAATGTCAGTATTTCGTTCCGCATTCCATGTAAATTATAATAAACCGTTACATTACTTGGCAAACTCTTAAAATTGGTGTTTCATTTCCTAAATGTGCCATTTGCAAATTACAATTGACGATGTCATGTGGAACTTTTAATCGAAATGAAAGCACTATAATCAATATTTATGTTAGTTCTCCTGTGTCAAGTTAACTAAACGATCATAGTGACAAAACATGAATTAAGTGGTACACGTATAAAATAGAAAGCTCACGCCTCTTACGCTTTTAAAGGGAGTACATTATTATGTAAATTTTAATTTACATCAGGAAATTAAAAAGGCATTGTGGTGACTTAAATTTTACTCTAAGATATATTTCCTTATTTACGTTTCATTCCGTTGAGCTCTCCGTGCAACTTGAAAATGAACGTGAACAGTTTCACTGCTTGTTCCCCTAAATTAAAATTACCTTCTTGGGCCACAACAACCTACAGCCTTACATCGTTTGCAAATTTGAAGATATGCGGTTTTTAAATAACGTCTATCAATAATTACTGGTTTTATTAATCATCATACGCTCAGATTGTACAGAAAAATGTGCCGATAAGAATATGGCAGGGATATTAAATTTTCGCTCTTGTTTAAAAATCATATAAAACTTTACCCAAACTTGAACAATATTAGAAAACTACTTTCATAAAAACCTATTAATGTATACTAGGCACACAAGCCATGAAAGTAACTTTAATTAAAAAAATGTACTCATCCCGGTTGAAATTAAACATTTTAAATGAAATTGGTTGTAAATTCGTAGGGTTTTAGCAAATTAATTTGAAAAATACTTCATTAAAAAACGGCTTTAACTTATAATAATATAATAAGTAAGTAAAGTTACCTTTTCTCCACTATCGGATGGTAAATAAAAGGTGACAACTGTAAGAAAGGATATCCCCATGCATGGAATTATGATGTTCACCGTATAAAATAACGTTTTTCGTCTCATCGTAATGTTGAATGTAATATCTAGGTAAGGCTCATCACAACACGTGTAGAATTTTTCGTTTCTGAAAAGGAAAGCATATTTTAGTTTTATTTACATCATTCTTGGGTATCAATTTGTCAGTTGTCTATGTTAATATTCTCAAGGGGCAGCAGGCAAAATAGGTATCTGTTATAGAGCTTGTATAAAGCACTCAATAAATACGCTCTCAAAGAGAAATTTCATATTTTCAATCCTTGCCGTTATACACTTAAACTACATTATTTAAATGTAGTAATGCATTTTCTTCCTGGTTGCTTATTGATACTACATTGAATTGAATAGATTTTTCCTGTAGGTAGGATATTATTCGGTGAGAGATTCGGACCACAAAAAAGGTGGTGCTGAGGCCAGGCTTACCATACTCGTGCACTTGAAATAGCATTTTCTTCGTTTGTTGTGTTTTTTCACATTAATATCAACCACAAGCATATTTTATGTATCTTAAAAACCTAGGCATTGTACTTGAAAAACAAAAGATCCATCGATTTCTGGTCAAACCATATTGAAGTAGCCCTCTTATCCCAAACGCACTGTATAGCCAATTGGGGAATCGTCAGGATGGTTTATGATATCCAAGTATTATAATTACTTCAAATTTTGATAACTTAGAAAAATTGAATCTGTTACCACAAAAATCACTTTCATTATTTATTTTATTTATTTATTTATTTATTTACGTTCCTGTTTGGGTGCAAAGCACTTACAGTTGTCAAAACAAAAAAGGTTTACATGTAAAAGTGTATATAACATGACAAGTCAAAAATAAAACAAACAAACAAACGATAATAGGTACATTAACACTAAAGCACACTACCAACTTACATCTGACATGTTTGTAAGTTTCACATGATCCACAAATTCATCCAGGGTGTAAAAAGCATGTTCAGTTAGGAATTTTTTAACGACACATTTAAATTTGGTATTTGGTAAGTCCTTGATATGAACAGGAATAACATTAAACAGGGTTAGTGATTTGTAATAGCTCCTTTTTGGGATGCTGTAAGTTTACAATAGTTAACACGTAGTTTGTGTTTAGTGCGAGTATTATGAGTATGCATGTCGCCCTGTTGTGAGAATGCTAACAAGTTGTTTTTTATAAAGCATACAGCTTCTAAAATGTACAGTGACGGCAACGTAAGTAACTTTAGTCTTTTGAAGGCTCCACGACAATCCTCACGATAACCCAGACCACTCATTACACGTATAGCTCTCCGCTGCAGCTTGAATATCATATGCCATGAGACCGATTGACCCCATACTAAAAGAGCATAGCTCAGTGTGCTTTGTACAAGAGCATGGTACGCGTTTTTAACAACCCAAGGTGATACATTGTTTACCAGCCTTCTTAATAGAAATATGGACTGGTTAATTCTTTTTGCAATTACATCGCAGTGCGATTTAAAGTTTAGACGAGGATCAATAGTACAACCCAAAAACTTTGCATTGTATATCGTCTTATAATTTGCACCATCTTGTCCATATTTTAATGTAAGATGCATTACAGCTGTTTTTGATGAATTTAGTTTAAGTTTATTAGCTAAACACCAGTTATTAATTGAATCCACACTTGCATTAGCCTTGCTAGACGCACTCTCTACATCACGGCTACAGGAAATTAAAGTTGCGTCATCTGCATACAGTAGACATGAGACATCTGGGGGGAGACATAGAGGCATATCGTTGACATAGATAAGGAACAGTGTAGGACCTAACACGGAACCTTGGGGTACTCCAAGGGTAACAGTAAGTTTATGCGAGACCACATTGTTAAAAAGGACACAATGGGATCTTCCACTTAGGTACGATGATATTATGGAACAGCTATTCGAGTCGAAGTTATAAACATGTCTTAGTTTTCTTATTAAAATTTCGTGATTAACACAGTCGAATGCTTTAGACATGTCTATAAACGTCGCCACAGTATGGAATCCATTTTCAAATGCCTCGAGCGTGCTCCTCGTAAATTCAATGATCGCATTCGATGTACCTCTACCTTTACGAAAGCCGAACTGTTTATCATGAAGTAAATTACTAGCTTCCAAATTTTACAAACATTAACTTCTGATTGCCTTGAAAATAAAATCTGACACCACAACAAAAGACTCATTCACCTCTAATAACCTTTAAAGTAGAAAATGACATCGCAAAGATATGGAGCTAATTGAACTTGACTAACCTTGAAATAAGAAACCACAAAAAATGGGGTCATTGACCTTGAAAATGACATTAAATGACAAAAATAAACTAAAATAGGTGACAATCACAAAATTGGGGCCGTTGATATTTAATCATCGTGGGAGTAAAAGGTGGTAAACTTGAAAGTCAAATATGACAACAGAAAAAAGGGACATTAACCTCCGATGACCTTGAAAACAAATACCATTATGCATTCATTTGACCTACCTTCCAAGGTCACTGCCACGTGGCCCTTCAATTTTATCTACTTTCCAAGGTCACTGCAAGGTGGCGAACGACCTTGAACTGGTTCAGGTTCGGCATTGTATATCTGCTCCGCTATAGTGTAGGTTTATCACATTCCTTATCCTCCCCGCGAGTTTCCTGGTATTAACAACAGCGGCTTTAAAAATACAAAAACAACCATATCTACTCTTGCTACACAGCCCATACTTAACCATGACTATACATACAAAGATTGGACCGGCTGGCAATGAAACGGAAGACAGATGGAAGAAGAAGATAAAACTGAACATCTAGCCCAAGGAAAACGCGCGAGAAAATGAAAATGAGGTCCTTTCACAGTCAGAGATACTTTATGTGTGTAGTAAAAATTAGGCCACTCTGCAGGATGTTGAGACTCACTATTTGACTTTGTAAGATATGATAAGAAGTTAAACTGAACTGTGTATCGCATGAAAATATGCTATACATGCTACATTCGGAGTGATCAACGGCCAATAGTCAGTCGACTCATATTAGGACAGCGGTGTCGGGGTTTAAACTAGAGCTACCCCTGCGTTGATTCAAAGCGATAAAATATATATTTTAAAATAGTGAAAATATGTAATTACCTAACTGCAGGCACATCTAATATGTCCCATTCTACAGACTTGTAAAATTCTGAAAGGTCGACTCCTACTTCAACCACGTTGCTTCCAGCCTTTTCGTCCATGTGACGAAGATCCACCTGTGCAAAAAATCTATCAGACAACAGTTCAAGTTCAACATATTCTATTATACTTTAAACATAGACACAACAGGTAATATTTACATGATCACAAATATAAAAAAGATCGGATACTGACATTACACCATACTGAAAAAAGCAGACTTTTTCGTCCTATTGAAAGTTAAAGAATATGACCCGAACACCTACGTCTTTTTTAAATATTTTATTAACTCAACGTTCTGTTGAGGCATATTTTAGACTCAAGTTTATGGTATATTTTATTCATACGAGCCATGCTTTAAAGTAGTTTAGTGAGGAGATGTGTGATTATAATTCTTGTTTACTGCTGTGTATTTAATTATGTAGGTGTTAAAAGTAATTACAATATTCACGTTCTGGCGTCATTTACGTGAGGAGGGATGTTGTACTAAATTATATAGAAGCGTAAATAAAAAATTACGGGAGCAAAAGTGTAAGCATTTCACCCTCGCGTTATTTAAAGAGAGAACGTATTTTCTGACGTAAACATTACTCAAGTGTAATTTAATAGTAGTAACGTAAATTAATATCTGAGAAAATACTTACACTTTATTGCAATTTTTACTTAATAGCTCAGCTAAGGCAAGCCATGCTAGCAGCAACTTATTCGTAATTTATGGGTAGACGTTATTTGGATTCTCGCCGCAAATTTATTTTAATAATTCCCAGGAAACATTTTCAACAACGGATTAGTGTCCTTTGTGAACGTTTAGTTTGAGTTTACCTCAATTATTATGTAAACAGGTAATAAAAAGCGTCCATACAGCGTCAAAATGAAACTAGATTATCTTCTAAGGAAATGGGTGTACTCGACGCCAATTCAATTCATAAAATTTGCGTTAGAACCTATTCTGCTCTAAGCATATCTTTATTCGAGTATTTCCAAGGGAGTGATATTGAAGCGGCATATGTAAAGTGATTTTAGTATATTCTAGAAATTGATTCCGTGATCTCTTCCCAAGTTGAGTAGGTGGTGAGTCTCTTTATGATAATGAAAATTTTTTTTCATTTAAAGTAAACAACATTTGACTGTAGTTTTAGGTAAAATGATAGGTATATTTTTTTCTTTTATGATCTGATCAACTCCAAGTAAGGATAAGGCTCCGAGGGAGCAAATGAAGTTGATGTGAATACAATGCTGAAATTGCTGAACACTTCAGTTATTTATGTTAAGGCCTGAAATTCGCCGGGAAACGGTGGACATTGTTAAGACAAGCATTTATATGCACAACAATAGAAAATGTAAATGAAGGAGAAACATAGAGAGAACATTGAAGTTAGGTACTACAAAAGAAAAATTATATATAAGTAGTTCTTTGAAAATAATGTCGTTTTTAAACATTTAAACAAATTGAAACCATATCGTTATTCTTTTTTGTAGTTTGCGATCATATTGCTAAATAATAAACTTAAGTTCAGTTACCTCAAATATTTCTGAATGATTATTTAAGGGCTCCTGAAGGTGTCGTAACCGCGTTCCGCGTTTTCTTTACAATAATTGTGTACGTAGTTACATAATTGGAGAGATTCGAAAACGAGAACGAGAACTCGTTCGAAAATGTATGTATGTTCAAAATTTCGGTTGCCCAGAGAAAGGTGAAAGTTAACATTTCTTTAACGATGGTAGGCACTATAGCTAACTTTCTTAAAGCTACGAAGTCGGTGTATTACTCATTATTTAACCTTTATCAGAATCACCATAGCTTAATTAGAATGACCATTGAGTGCTTCTTCTACTAGTACTTCTTAAAAGGAACTCCTGCATATTTTTACATATTTGGAAAAAATACTTAAAATTTTAAATCAAAAGTACTCGCAATTGCATAGTAACAGATCCAAGGGAAATTAGGCTCTGAAAGTAGCTAATAGTATATTATATACCGAGAGACTAAGATGTGTGATTAATCCCGGGGGTTCAGTGCAGTTGCCCGAAACGTAGTTGAGGGCCACAAGCACATGAGGGATTTGGACTCATTTTAGTCCTGTGGTATATATGCTATTTATTGTACTGCGGTAATCAGATACAGCAATTTCAATGAGAAAGTTCAAATTTGAAATAAGAAAATTTATTTGATTGTAGAATCAATATACCTCGTCATGTCAAATTATGGCCGTATAAATAGTAAATGTCAGTTTAAGTTTAAAGATTGTCATTCAAAACGACGACGTAGATATGAGCGTTTAAAACTCTGAAAAACAAGATATGAGGAAACTACTGCCTCCCAAAATTCAAAAAGATATATAGACAACGGTACAATAAGTATAAAATTTTGCTCCAGATTAACTTCCTTCATAGCTACTGTAACGGTCCAAAATGGTTAGTAACTAAATAAGCATTACTCTTTAACCCAACAATGCCCATTTTATGGCCCGCCTATGTTCGCTTACAACGATTTTGCATGTACGCTGATAGAGAGAACAATTTTGATAAACGTAGTTGCGTACGTGAATTCCTTGAAGTCAAACTGATTAATAAATCATTGCCGAAAATTTTGGGATCATTTCAGTGACTTCTGTACCAATTAAAGTAATTACCGTGTTTGATTGTTACTTTAATATTCCTTTTTGGGATTATTTGGAATCACGTCACGTAAGTGTTTTATATCACGAAAATGTAAATTAATTTAGAATTTTGCATTTTAGCAACACAATCATGCAAAACTGTTTAGGCGAACCAATTCATCACATATAAATAGGTTCCTAATAATCTTTGAGTGGAAACCCTCAAGATCACCGAGGTAATTACCACCTACTACTGTAATAGGTTATTAACATTTTTAGGATACCTTTTAGGGTTCTTTTTCTGGACTCACTAAATTTAACTAAGACGCAGACGTCACGTTATTAGTTTGGGGCGTAATTAGAGCGCCGTTCTCATCAAACGCCAGTTAAATGCCGATAGCCGTTGCAGAACCTCTACCACCCAGATATCTGTTTGTGCCGTCCCGCTGTTTACCAAGAAGATTTAATTTGATTTCCACCTGTTACCTACTTAATTGTTATGTAGAAAAGTTGTGTTTTACGTTAAAGGAAAGGAATTTGGTGTAACCCTGATATGATCATATCTTGGAATTTACGTTCACATTAGCCATTTGGTTCCGATAATTTTTTTGTCTGATTTTGTATTAAGTTTCCTTTCAAAGTATTTTCGTTTGTTTAAATAAAGAAAATCTCTTAGAGCTAGCTGGCAGGTTGCTTACGGTCGCTCACTGAAATCTATATATAGAAATCTATTTATTTAATGCCCTCCTTGATCTACAGATCCTACGTCCCTGAGGCAACAATAAAAAAAATACGTGGCATTAAATTGGCGCCCAACTGTAATCGTTTAAGTGTTTTTTAGAAATTGTGTGTAAAATAATATTACTGTAGGTAGCGATAGGTGTTGGTGCTGTCGGTGTATTGTGGTTCCTTACCTTTCTTATAGGTTTAAGGATTATCAGGGTATTTCTTTGTCATTACCAAATTGAATATTATTTTTATAGAATGGATATTGGCAGGTTATTGAGTGATGAACTTACCCATGAGTTACTTGTACGCGGTGCAGTAATAGGTAGCACAGTAAAAGAAAAACGTTCAATATTAAGGGAAGCTATGGCTCGCGAACGACTGGGGTTAGTGGCTCAACCTACTATTACCTTTGATCCTCAGCAAGAACTTAATACTTGTTCGTTGAAACTTGATGAATTACACGGTAATATTCAAGAATTTGACAATTCCAATAAACTTAATGAGCACGCACGTATTAAAACTCGGCTATTGCATGTAGAGGGAAGACTGTCGCGTATTGTAAACATTCAAGATGACAAAACAGTACAAACAAAGAAAACTAATCTCCAACTTTTGTGTAATGGTTTATTAGAGGCCCTTGAAGATGCTTTAACTATTGCTAATTACAGTAACACAAGAACCAGAAATGAAGTTGTTAGGGCAAATCCTTCTGTATCCATATTAGACTTACCCAACCCGGATTTATCGCCTGTTAATAACAATAACACAAGTCCTATGCCTGCGCCTGCAAGTATAAATGATGAAAATGTTATCGAGCCAAATCTGAATCGGGACATAAATATTTCTCAAGATGATCCTACCCAAGCACAGCATTCATTATCAGCTCAACGGAATTTAGCTGCCATATCTCAACAACTTATAAACTTAACATGTGGTACCTTAAATGCACATAATCTGGTTGGTAATAATGCGCAAACAAATTTAATTAATCCGACAATAGTAGGCAATTATCAACAACCAATTGTAGATCATTCCGTTTTAAATCTCGACACTCGATCATTATTTCCAAATGCTCCGCCGGTTCACTCTACGGCACGGTTCGATTTACACAATTTACCCGGTATAGCGCAACATAGGTCGCCCCCTGTTTACAAATGGAATGTGTACTTTGATGGTAGTACAAGCATTACCAGCTTTGTTGAAAGAGTTGAGGAGCTAAGAGAAGCTCGAGGGGTTTCGAAAGCATTCTTATTCCAATCTGCAGTTGAATTTTTTAGAGGTGACGCCTTATTATGGTACCGCCCAAGAAAACATCTTTTCAGAAATTGGGATGACCTACTGCTTCAGTTGAGGGAAACGTTCTTGCCTTTAGACTACGAGTTTAGCTTATGGGAAGATATTCGCAAAAGGACCCAAGGCGAAGGGGAAAGGTTGGTTTTGTACGTTTCCATTATGGAAAATTTCTTTAAAAGATTGTCACGCCCTCCACCCGAATCAGAAAGGGTATGGCTCATTAGAAGGAACTTATTACCTCACTTACAGCAAGCGTTGTCTCTTCAATGCCTTTCAACAATTGATGATCTGTTACACTATGGTCGCGCAGTCGAAGAAAGTTACGGACGGGCCCAAAAATATTGTCCACCGCCGACTAACCCTAGGCTGATGCAAGAACCAGGTCTTGCTTACCGCAAAAATACCCTGCAAACGACAGCGCTAAATGCAATTACGTCGACTGACGATACGACCGATCACATTGACTTCATTAACACTCGCTCTCAACAAACCCAACCGGCAAGCAAATGTTGGAATTGCGAGCAATTTGGGCATTATCGCAAGAATTGTACGCAGACTCCCCGAATAATTTGCTTTCGCTGCGGAAAAGCGGGGTATACAGTAAAAAATTGTCCCTCATGTACACCCCCCGGCCCAACTTCGGGAAACGATTTGGAAGGTCGCTAGATAGCCGCCTAGCTTCCTGCTCATCTGATATGTCGGCTGAAAATAATAAACAAAAAATTATACTAGATTTTATACTGTCACATGCGCCAGGTGATCAAAGGCCTTACCTTGAAGTTTCCATTTTGGGGTACACGATACTAGGGCTGTTAGACTCCGGTAGTAGCAGCACAATAATCGGCAAACCAGGGTTGAATATACTACTAAAATTAGGCTTCTCAGTTAATCCGAAACAATCCGTCAAATGCGTGGTGGCCAACGGACAATCATGTATGTCGGTGGGAGAAATTATTGTCCCAATCTGTGTAATGGGAAGGGTTAAACTTATAAATATTTTAGTGGTGCCCGATTTGTGCACTACGCTTATCTTAGGTATGGACTTTTGGGTTGCAATGGACATTGTACCTGATTTAAAAAGGAACGAGTGGCACTTTGGCGAGCCTTCTCATATTGCAGTTTCTGGGATTGACAGTCAGGACACTTTAACAATATACCAAAGATCTCGGTTGGAAGAGTTACTTAATGTAAAGTTCAGAGTAATGGGAGAAGGGTTGGGGTATACGGAGCAAATAGAACATGAAATCGTTTTGTTACCTGACACTAGTCCCATTAAACAGCGGTACTACCCCGTTTCACCATTTAAGCAAACGATCCTCGATGCGGAGATCACAAAAATGATTAACATGGGGGTAATTGAACCGTCAAAGAGTGCTTGGTCGTCTCCCGTTTTATTAGTTCCCAAGTCAGGAGAGAAAGAGTACCGTTTTTGCGTAGATTTTAGGGCCTTAAACCGAGTAACAAAAAAAGATGCTTACCCCCTACCGTATATCACCGCAATTTTAGATCGGCTTCGCGGTGCCAAATTTTTAAGCACAATGGACATCAAATCTGCCTATTGGCAAATTCCCATGAAAGTGTCTAGTAGGGAATATACGGCCTTTACTGTTCCCGGCAGAGGGCTTTACCATTTCAAACGCATGCCTTTTGGGCTAACAAACGCCCCTGCTTGTTGGCAAAGATTAATAGATCAGGTTCTTGGAGTTGATTTAGAGCCCTATGTCCATGTTTATCTAGATGATATTATTATTATATCGCCAGACTTTAAGACCCACCTAGAGATATTAACACAAGTTTTTGATCGGTTAATTGCCGCAGGCCTAACAGTTAGTTCTGAAAAGTGCCATTTCTGCAGACCATCTTTGAAATACTTGGGGTACATCGTCGATTCGGAAGGACTTAGGGTAGACTTAGAGAAGGTAGAAGCCATTTTAAATGTACAGCCGCCAGTTAATCTCGCAGAGCTACGTCGGTTTCTGGGGATATGTAGCTGGTATAGGCGGTTTATTGAAAATTTTTCTGACAAAACAGAACCGTTAACTAACCTAACAAAAAAAAATGTTCCGTTTTCGTGGAGTGAGAGTTGTCAAAAAGCTTTTACGGAAATAAAACAATGTTTGATCTCTGCCCCTATATTGTGTTGTCCCAACTTTAATTTGCCTTTCGTCTTACAGACAGACGCTTCTGCGTACGGCATTGGGGCTGTGCTTACCCAAAATTTTGGCGATGAAGGGGAAAAAGTAATTTGTTTTATTTCTCGATCTCTCACGAAACAAGAGAGAAATTTTTCGACTACTGAACGAGAATGTTTAAGTGTTATTTGGGCAGTTGAAAAATTACGCCAATATCTTGAAGGAACTGTGTTCACTGTGATAACAGACCATGCCTCATTAATATGGTTAAATAACCTAAAAGACCCTTCGGGACGCCTGGCGAGGTGGGCCCTTCGTTTACAAGCGTATGATTTTAAAATTATACATCGGAAAGGTAAAGAAAATACCGTGCCCGACTTTCTTTCTCGATCTGTCCCTATTTCATCAATTCAATTAGAAAATTTTTCGAACAATACTACAGATCAATGGTACTTAGGGTTAAAACAAAAAATTAACGACCCCCCGGGAAAATTTCCACAATGGAAATATGAAAATAATTTGGTTTATAAATATGTTAACTGTAAAATTCCTGAGTTATCTAACGAATCTGACTATTGGAAAATATTAGTACCAAAAGACCACCGTAAACCGTTACTTCAGGAATACCACGATGACCCTCGCGCTGGTCATGTTGGAATACATAAGGTGTATACAAAAATAAAAAATCGTTTTACGTGGCCAAAAATGAAAGCAGATATTATGAAATATATTCGTCAATGTCAAGTCTGTGCCGCTCACAAACCTGAACAGGCACCTCCTGCAGGTCTCATGGGAACTCGCCAACCTATTAGTTACCCATGGCAATTGCTAAGTATACAGGGTGATTCCTATAGTACCTGCCACCGTTTGGGAGCGTATAGGGGGTGCCTAGGGGAGAGTATTTTGATATAGGACACTTGGGGTCGGAAATCTAAAATAAGGGCGCCAGAACCAAATTTATCTTCTGGAATTTCACGCCTGTATGTAGGCAACCCAACCGACCGACGTTTCGCGCGGAGCGATGCAGAGCGAGTTAGCGCGAGGAAGCGACATTGGAGGGAAGGAGGGAAAACGACAGTCAAAAGCAATAACGTTTACAAGTGTTCAACGTGGCCACCGTTGTTCTCAATGCACTTCCTACATCTAGCCAACTATTATTATACTATTGCCATAGTGTTTATTCACTTGATACGCGTCGTTGCAGACGGGATTTCGTGGGGTTAAACAAAATTCTGATCAAGTGTCAGCCACACATCGCCGCCTGAGATCGCTCCGTGTGCACCGCCGGCCGGTTGGGTTGCCTACCTACAGGCGCGAAATTCCAGATGGTAAATTTGGCTCTGGCACCCTTATTTTAGATTTCCGACCCCAAGTGTCCTATATCAAAATACTCCCCTACGCACCACCTACACGCTCCCAAACGGTGGCAGGTACTATAGGAATCACCCTGTAGATTTTATGGGGCCATTACCTAGGTCACGAAATGGGAATACTCAGTTGCTGGTAGTCAGTGATTATTATAGCAAATTTGTTTTACTTTTCCCACTTAGATCTGCTACGGCAAAAATTTGTTTTACTTTTCCCACTTAGATCTGCTACGGCAAAAGCTCTCACTCCGGTTTTAGAGGAAAACGTGTTCCTCCTGTTTGGCGCGCCCCAATACGTAATCTGTGATAACGGCGTTCAAATGCGCAGCAAGGAATTTGAAAAGCTTTGCAAGAAATATAGTGTCAAAATTTCCTATACACCCCTCTATTACCCTAGAGCAGATCCATGTGAGCGCGTTAATCGGGTTGTTAAGACAATGATTTCCAGCTACGTCAAAGACGATCATAGAAAATGGGATGAAAATATCTCCGCGATTGCATGTGCCATACGTACCGCTTCTAGTGAAGCGACTGGCTATAGCCCGTACTTCATAAATTTTGGTCGAGAATACGTGTTAAGTGGAGAAGAATTTTCTAGGCGTGCGGTCCGGGAAAACAAATCAATTACATACGACCAAACAATGCATCGACGAATGTTAGGTTTTCAAAAACTTTATGAAGATGTTTCCAATAATATTAAAAAATCACAAGAACGCCATAAACACACATACAATCTACGGCGTAGAGCAGTCGAATACAAAATTGGAGATCAAGTTTGGAGAAAAAATAAAGTACAGTCTAACGCTTTAAATTATGTGAACGCTAAGTTATCCCCAAAATTTGTAGGACCCTTTACGGTTTCTAAAAAGTTAGGATATTGTACATATGAGCTTACCGACTCGTCGGGTACTAGTAAAGGACGATGGCATGTGCAAGACTTAAAGCCATACAATGCTCCTGATTTAGACGTTGAATAAAACTATGAAAAAAATGTTTTTATAAGTTTTCCTGTATGTTTTGGGGTAAATATTTCAATTTTGTTTTTTTAGTTTAAGAAAAAAAAATTGAACCTTTGAAAGGGGGGGAGGAGTGTAACGGTCCAAAATGGTTAGTAACTAAATAAGCATTACTCTTTAACCCAACAATGCCCATTTTATGGCCCGCCTATGTTCGCTTACAACGATTTTGCATGTACGCTGATAGAGAGAACAATTTTGATAAATGTACGTAGTTGCGTACGTGAATTCCTTGAAGTCAAACTGATTAATAAATCATTGCCGAAAATTTTGGGATCATTTCAGTGCCTTCTGTACGAATTAAAGTAATCACCGTATTTGATTGTTACTTTAATTTTCCTTTTTGGGATTATTTGGAATCGCATCACGTAAGTGTTTTATATCACTAAAAATGTAAATTAATTTAGAATTTTGCATTTTAGCAACACAATCATGCACAACTGTTGCGGCGAACCAATTGATCACATATAAATAGGTTCCTAATAATCTTTGAGTGGAAACCCTCAAGATCACCGAGGTAATTACCACCTTCTACTGTAATAGGTTATTAACATTTTTTTTTGATACCTTTTAGGGTTCTTTTTCTGGACTCACTCAATTTAACTAAGACGCAGACGTCACGTCATTAGTTTGGGGCGTAATNATAAATAGGTTCCTAATAATCTTTGAGTGGAAACCCTCAAGATCACCGAGGTAATTACCACCTACTACTGTAATAGGTTATTAACATTTTTTTTTGATACCTTTTAGGGTTCTTTTTCTGGACTCACTCAATTTAACTAAGACGCAGACGTCACGTCTTTAGTTTGGGGCGTAATTAGAGCGCCGTTCTCGTCAAACGCCAGTTAAATGCCCATAGCCGTTGCAGAACCTCTACCACCCAGATAAGATATCTGTTTGTGTCGTCCCCTTTGTTTACCAAGAAGATTTAATTTGATTTCCACCTGTTACCTACTTAATTGTTACCTATGTAGAAAAGTTGTGTTTTACGTTAAAGGAAAGGAATTTGGTGTAACCCTGATATGATCATATCTTGGAATTTACGTTCTCATGAGCCATTTGGTTACGATAATTTTTTTTGCCTGACTTTGTTATTAAGTTTCCTTTCAAAGTATTTTCGTTTATTGTAATAAAGAAAGTCTATTAGAGCTAGCTGGCAGGTTGCTTACTGTCGCTCACTGAAATCGAGATATGAGAAATCTATTTATTTAATGCCCTCCTTGATCTACAGATCCTACGTCCCTGAGGCAACAATAAAAAAAAATACGTGGCACTACCTTTAAGGTTCAGAAAGAATCGACATCAAACTCCAATTTTTCTGTCAAGTCCAACTCGATGTTTAAAACCGTGATATTTGTCAAGTGTGACTTGTTCATCGTTGACGTTGAATAGTTTCTTATTCTTTTTAGTATTGAAAAGGACCATTTCGCCGAACAGTTTGTGCCATAATGATTAAAAAAAGTTTTGAAGGTATGTCACTGTATGGATCTAGGTGTGGATGACATATCTAGGTTCGTTGTGTTGCAGGACTTCGTACATGTCTTGAGAGTTTTGATCGTTCCTGTTCTTTCATTACTTTCAAAAATTTAAAAAAATTTAACCATTCCTTCATAAATTCTTCTGCCGATGGTAGATCTTTATTGTACAAAGTACATAATATCCTACAACCAAGGTTTGTCATATTAAGTTCGCCTTTTCCACTATTTGTCAAAAGTTTTAAAAGGCAGTTTAGCTCATCGTAATATGAAGCTTTCGTTGTTTTCATTTTATTAATCAGTCTCGCCAGTATTACATAATAATGTGTACTTTGAAACTTTGCCTTTCAGTAAATTTTTCCCCCTCCTTGAGTTTCATCTGCTTGCAGTTTTCTTATTTTCTTTTTTTAGTTTCATCTTCATATACGGTCACTTCAAGTCATGTGCGTTGCTGCCGTCTGCCCAAAACCGCATATCATGCGGATACATCTGCGGCCCCTACTCCTAACTCCATCATTTAGTCTTCGCGTTACGTTGTGGCCTCGTATCGCTTGGACGGAAGTGAATATTGGGAGAAAGTGGATACCGTATATGATATTGTTACGGGCAATCAAAAATGAGTGGCGGTCGAACGGCCTTAGAAGTTCAAGTTAAGTATGATTTCCCATGCGTAAACAAAAATTCCAAACGTAACTCGACCGCAACCCATTTTTTTCTACGAAAGTGTAGAAACACGATTGTTTTTGTAGGTAAATTGATTGTGAAAACAGGTCTTTGAAACACTAGTGCGGCAAAAATATTTTCTGCATGCATTTTCTACACGCTAATAAACATATGCGAAGTAACTCTTTGTAATTGTATTGCTTTATTCACAGTTTCGTTATATAAGACAGACAATGGTAGAATTTTCTTTGCCTTCTGCTACAGAAAACGTTCTTGGGACATGATTCTTGGGGTCAGGAATCGTTAAGTATCAATAAAATTGCATCTTGTTCTGTGAAATCCGTTACAGTCATTTTACAACGTTCGCTCCGACGGCAAGCTCCAGCCACTCCAAGGACGAGAGCAACCTGTAATTAAATTATGCTTATTTATGATTTAAAAATACAATAAGAAATTCACAAACCTTCATCATTACAAATGTTTCATCAGGCGCTTCTCTCAAAAACTTTTTCTTTTCTCTTATGAAAACGCTCCTTTCCGAAACGCTGCTTAGACTTTTGGGGTAGCAATTCATGCGAAACCGCATTAGCCATTTCCGCAACGTCCGGCGGGGTGCACATACCTTCTTCATCTTCAGTTTCGTCAAAATCTATCTTAACACTTCTTCACTACGCCACAAATTGTTTGACTTAAATTTACGATTTTTCAAACAATTATGTTTTGTCATGGCAACCGGCTTACTGGATCATTTACAATTGAAACATCCAACTACGATCAGACTATACGATTTTTTGTCGTTATTTGGCTAGTTAAAATTTCTAATTTCTAGAGAAGAATTTTTCACTTTCGTAGAAAAAATAGTATGAAACACGCATGCCGAAACGGTCATTGAAAAACTCGTATAATAGGAACACTCGCTGGCGCTCGTGTTCCTATATTTATACTCGTTTTTCAATAATACCGTTTCTGCACTTGTATTTCAATGTACTATTGATCGCGTAGTATTTTGGAATCGAAATGGTTGAGCTGTTAATAAAAGTGGTTTATTTATTGTCTAATATCTGGACACGGGTGGACAGTGCCATCAACTTTCTTCAAAATGTCTAGTGATAAAAAAATCTACTGCCACCCCTAAAAATCTACTGCCTCGGGCATAATGTCCAAAGAAACGGGCGACAAATTTTTTTTCTCTACAACTAATCTCGGCTATGCTAAACGTAATATATCTCTTTACACACAACGAGTTGACGTACATACTTATCACACAAGAAAAAAATCAATATCCGTACTGATCTATGCAGATTGTCAAAATCACAAGGACTACAGTACCAATCCAAATATTTATACAACTGCCTTCCATTAGATATAAGGGTTTTAGACTACCCCATATTTAAGAGACGCATAAAAAATTTTCTTCTATGTAGCGCATTTTATTCTTTTAACGAGTTTGTGGCTAGTGGAAGATTATGTAATTAGTTAGCGTTTTTATTGCGACTTTACTGTTTTTACCTGTCTGTTATATACTATTATTATTAATGTTAAATGTAATTTCCCATTTCTTTTGACGAGTGTATGTGTAATTCACACCTTCTCACAATTAAATATTATTATTAATTACAAACCAACAACGCTTAATGTATATACCTATACAAGGTGTAACAATGTATAAAAAGAAGATTCTAGAAAGTCTAAGAAAAGGAAATGGAGAGTGATTTTATTGCAAGAAACCAATAAAATAAGTCAAACAATAACATTCAAATTATATTAATATGATAGGTAGCCAGATCTTTATTTGTTTCAAAACACTATTTTCGGTGAATAAAATTAAGCGTCCTCCAAAACAGATTTTTTCACTTATAATGGCACAAGCGGTTTGTATTTTACCGAGTAAATTTGGGTTGTTTAGGAAACCCTGTTGCCTAGCAATTGGACGAGAAAAACTGTCAACTAATAAAAATGCGACACCGAAGTCCAATTGCTAAAAGGAATAGTTATTTGTACAACTAGAGAAGAAAGTGAAGTTTTTCAACTTGAGTTCAAAGTTCAATTGAACGAAAAACACTTTCTTCTCAAGTTTTACACATGATTTTTTCTGAAACTACAATAAAAATTGAAAAATTATCGTATGCAATAATGAAGTTTGACATACAGCGATCTACATACGGGGATTTTGCAATTTTAAGTGTCATTATTATGATTAGCGCAGCAATTGTTTTTTACTTTTCTCACTAGAGAGGAAAATCACATTTTCTTCACCCTTTTTAGAGACGAAAGTAGTTGTTTCTAAAGTAGTTTCAGAAAAACAGATTTAAATTGCAACAACAGAAATTTACTCGTAAATACAAACCTCGAGTATAATTCGGCAGGACAATTTAACGAACAAGAAATTCACAAACCAATCAATTATTGACAAATGTCAAACCAATCATATGGGAACGGATAATGTGATATTTGATTAGAAAATAAATGAGTGAAAAAACCACTAGTGCATTTGTCGGTGGAATAGTTGCAGGTAACTTTTTCCACTGGTAAGGTGACAATTTCACTGCAGCTTATGCGATTTTGTATACATGAGTTAAATTGTCATTTTAAAGTAGACATAAGGAAAAACAACACATATTAATACCTATGTCTACTTATTAATAAATATCACTGTTTGTATAATTTCCAGTTGGCACATTTCCTCTTTAGTATTTCTAACAGTTTCTGTCAGTTTACCCAGAAGTGTGAAATTGGAAATAAGAACTATAGTCTATACTGTTAACTGTAAATTTTGGTAAAAAGGCGTTGACCAGTACGGTGCATAGACATACGACGTGAATTTCTATTAGGTACAAAATTTGGAAAACTCCGGAAATCAGTGTAGAAATCTGACATTATTTCGTGCATTCAACAGAGCTGCAGTGAAAATCTGAACGTAGTAGTTCAGCCGGACTACACCTTATTATAGACAGAGCTGCTCTGGTGCACACGTTGGGACAAAGAGCAAATTGAACTTTCCAACACTATAGTATGACTGTCTTTGAGTCGTATACTAAAATGAGGATGAATTCGGCAGTAACCAGAATTTATAGATGTCGTTTTCGATCAATACAGCAACAGCAGCCTGAAAGCTCACACGAGAGAGTCGAGAGGTAGAAGAGAAAGAGTTGCAGTTAGGAACAGAGTGACGATCCTAAAAAACTTCCAATCCGTTCTGAAAGAAGACAGGAACAAAGAAGAACTGTTTCGTTTCCTTGCGAAAAATCTGGTTTAAAAAAATAGAATAGAAAAGCGCTCCTGTGTACCCACAATAACTCAGTTCTAAGTTCAACAACAGCAGTTCCTCACAGGAAGCAAATTCTCAGCTTGATAGAGTTGTGGCACAGGAAAGAACCTCCGATACATGTAGGTACGTGAATGGTCGTCTCAGCTTTCAAACAGTTTGCCAGACTGCTCCCATTTTTTCACTGTTTAAAAGATTGGGTACAGTATTAGCCCTTGCAAGCGTGAGGAAGAAAACAG